TGGGGCGGAGGGGGCGCCGTGCCGGGCAGGGGCGGCGCGGCCTGCCTCCCCGCGGGGTCCGTCAGGCCCTGAGGGGCTCTCTGGGTCCCTGGGTATAAATGTGACACACTAGAGCGTATCATCGCTCTCAGGAGGGAGGCCACACTCTTCCCCGGTGGGATGAGAGGTCCCTAAAACATCTGGTGACGTGACTTGGGCAGAGGGGGCTAGATAGGGGGAGGCCTGGGGGAGAGGGTTTTCTGCTTGGTATTCATCATTTTATTCCCCCCACCTCAGGACTTCACAATGAGAATGATTGAGAGCGTTGACTCCGTGGTCACCAGGTCCAGCGAAGACCTCTGGGCTGAAATCTGTTCGTGTCTGCCACATCCCGACCAGAAGGACGCTAGCGATGCTTTTACAGACTCCTTCATGGATTCGTATGCCGATGGAGGAAGCCAGGGCAGTGGATCAGATGGCTGTTCCCAAACAAATCTGAAGCCCTGGGCACCCCTGAATGATTCGGAGGTGTATTTGGCATCCCTAGGTGAGTGTCTGGTGAGGCTTCGATTTCTCCATTTGCTTAGGTGGCAGCTATGGCTCTGTTTAGGTGGCTGAGGTGACGGTGCTCACAGCTCTGGTTGGAAAGACATCTTGCAACTATTTAATAGAGCATCTGACTCATTGACTGCAAGTGCATTAATGGAAATCAGAAGCACGGTCATGGCTTCTTCAGCTATGCCACAGAAAGGAACTTTTTACCAAGTACAAACCAAAGAATTTGGTTTTTTTTCCCAAAATAAGTGGGGTAGGGACACTGCTGTTCTTTGAAGAGCATGTAGTTCCACTGTAGTTGACTTGGGGAGGGGAAATGTGTTCTGAACTCATTATAGAGCCTATGTGTTTTTGTGTTACCAGTATTTGTCTCATTCTTTTTATGGAGCCTCGGGAGACGCTTCCGAGAGGAAAGAGAAAAGTGAAATTTCTTTCTGTGACCTGTTTTCTGGTTGGAGAGGGGGAGGACAGGTATGGGAAAGAAAGCTCTGATGCTTTCCCAAATCATGCCTGCTAGAATCTGTATGTTAAGATGACAGATCATGCAGACCGTCTTTGCGCGATTGCTTCTCTTAATTCCTGCATAATCTATCAAGCCATAGACTGATTGTGAACAGCGTGACACCTGATAGAAACACTTGATACGAGGGATGAGAAGGTTACCAGTACTGGAGCTAACATCCTAGCACAGCTAAGCGCTGCAGTCTTTAGCTCTAAGGCCATGGAGTTTGTCACCCTGTTTTAAGTATTTCCTACTCCCTTCAGAGGCCTCACTGTACAACAGCATTCAACCCCAGGACGGGTGTTCCTGTTGCCTGTTAGGAGGAAGCAGGGGTTCCCCTGCTCTCCAGCAGTTGGACTGCTACTCCCTTCACTCATAGCAAAATATTCCATCTTTATGGCTCTTCTTTTCCCCTTCTTTCCCTCCCGTGGCATTATTTTTATCTTGGGTCAGTTTGTAACCTGGTTTGCAGCCACATGCATAGTTGTCTTGGCTTGCGTAGGAGGCTCATACAGAAACAGGCCAGGAGGAATGGGTGGCAGAAGTGGCTTTTTAAGCTTTTATTTCTGCTAGAGCTTCCATCTTGCCTTAGTTGCTGTTTTAGACTATTATTTCACAATAGACTAAGTAGAGCTCTTAGTATCAGATCAAGGGTGCCACAGCAACAAGACATAAATTGCTCTTCTGCTATTAATTACTGCTGCAGTTCCAACTTGTTCAGAAAATGCTAGTGGATTAATTTTTACAAGCAGGCTTCAGACTAGATCTGTCTGTGTTCTCACAGCCAGGACGAAAGCGTAACAGTAGCACAAAGCTTCTCTTGCATATTCTGGCTAAGTCAACGGAAATACAAACCTGTTCTAGGTTTGTACCTGGCCAGGGTTAGCGACTGTGAAATCGTAGCATCAGCCTGGCAGCATATTTGGAGAGATACAATAATTCAAATCTTCTGAATTGCTAGGGCCAGAGACTTTTGGTGGCAGCTCAGTTCTGACGACACAAGACAACCTCCAAAAAGCTCAACAGGTGGGCCACAGCGTTGTGAACTAGCCCAATTCAACTAACGCTGATACGCTTCTCAGTCAAAAGCGTGATTACGAATCGATACCTGACCCAATTTAAGGAGCAAACCATTATAATGGGATTTTGTGACCAGAGGAATTAATGAAATCTGCTTTCTTGTAGCTTTGTGTACTGTAGTTGGATTACCCTGCGTCTGGTAAGGAGGTGCTTTTCATCGTCCCCTGTGGCTGAGAAACTCGCGATGTCACATTCTGTTATGAGATAGCCAACTAATAACACTGCTGCACTCGCACTTCTTTTCCCCTCAGTTTGGGCATTATTGGCATCACGCTACAATGAGTATGATTTATATTCCATGCCAATTTGCATGCAAATTGTGGGAACTTAATGCCTATGAGATCTGAACCCTCCCGTGTGATTTCATGGAAACTGAACAGTAAGTGTGAAAGTTATTAAAACTCAGAATTGGGCAGAGTTGACTGATCGCATAAACCTTATTTCCTTCAGAAGCACCGCCTAAAAAATATCATCTTGTACACATACAAGAAATACAGTCATGCAGACTTGAAATACAGGGGGAAAAATGACTTTTAAAAGATGGCTTAGTCTTGAAAAGTTAATTTAACTTTTTAGATATAGAAGTCCAGATACTTCTTTTCTTCCCTTTCAGAAAAACATAATAAAGATGACAAAGACCCCTCCTTTGCCTTTTCACAGAGAGAAGACTGATGAGAATTAAAGGCTTGTCTCAAGAGGTGACCTCCAAGGATATGCTGCGCACTCTCTCCCAGGCTAAGAAGGAATGCTGGGACAGGTTCCTGCAGGAGAAGTTTGAGTCTGAATTTTATGTAGAAGGACATGACTCTGATGAGAGGTAATAAGCCAGTCGATGAGAAGGGATTACCACTCACCGTGTTTGCAAACAGACTTCATTTCTTGAAAACTAAAATAAGGTTTTGTCAGGACTTGTGATAGGGCTTTATGACAAAAATAACATCTCATTGCAACTTGGCTTTCTGAAACAGTTTGATAATGACCATTTGCGTAGAGGGGAACACACAGAGCACGTAGGGTTTGAACTTTCGATGCTGTTCACTGATTTTTGCGTCCCTCAGACTGGGGCGATCCAGCGTGGAAACAACCGGAACCCACTTGATAATTTCCCATGTCACATTTGGGGTAGGGAGGGACTGGGGTGGAGGAGGAGATGTCTAACGTGTCTCAGATTGCTTTTTTTTTTTTTTTTAAGGCTTAACTTTAAAAGTGAACCCCAGGCCATTCCCTACATGTTTGTGAGGGCCCAGTTAAGCGCTGCTTCAGACAGAAGTGGGATTGAAGGTCTTTATAGGGTTGGTACCGGTACCGAGATTAGATTTCCCGAGTGGCTCTCCCTTCCGTGCCTCTCTTACAATGCTTCTGCTCCCTCACCCATTACCCTTTTGCAGGTGATGTATGAATTAAGATGAGAGTCCTTCTCTTTAGCGATCTCACGTTCCAAATCACTTATAATGCTCTCCATATTTCTCCTTTCTGAGCTGACATTTTTCATGATTGCTTCTAGCTGAAAAGAAGATGATTATTCTCCCTTGAAGAAAATCTACTTAAGCTGGTTTAGGAGTTTTTAATTATGAAAAATAATCCGTGTTTATAAGGAGTTTTTAGATTCTTTCTCTGAGCAGTTAACTTCACTGTGATTTATATTTAAAAACAAGCTTTTGTAGACCTATGTGCTCTTTCTACTGTTTTTAAAGGCTGGGGATGTTATCTATGAAAGAATTTTCCTCCCTAGAATTTCACTGGAAGTTAGAGGTCGCTCCCGAATGGTGCCAAAGTGTTTGATTCTCACCCACCAACGTAATTAAACAAGCCTTAACTTTTAAGCGCATAGATAATTTCAAGAACATTACCAAGTGAAATCCTGCTCTTGTGAAAGAGCAAGAGCAAGTTAATTTTGTTGTGGCAGTATTGAATGACTTGAATCACACTTCTAGAAGATGAGCATACGCACACATGCATACATTTAAGAATTATTATATTAAACTTTAGGATTATAGCCAGCATTTAAACAAAGACAGGGTAGATCTGGTCGGACCAGTTATTGTGAGATAGGCTGTAAGACAGTAGTTATGCTAGTATATATTTATAAACATCTATAGAATCCATAGTACGGTTAGCGTTCTAGGATGTACACATACTGCCTTTTTCTTCTTTAATTTTCTGGTGTTATTAATGGTCACACATTTCTATATGTGCTTCCTGTTTTGGTTTTGTTCCCCTCCCTTCCCCCCTATATTTCCTAATCTTCATCACAAGCAGGCAGTTCTGGGTTTTGTTTAACACCGTTTTTTTTACTTCCAGCCCAGAAAGCTGGAAATTGAATTGTAGTCTCTGGCTACAGAGACAGACTAGTACTTCAAGAATGTAAAGGTCAAGGTACATGCTAAGGATTCTTTTCATTGAGAAAAATGGGAGCATAAAACTTTTCTAACAGTAGTTTAAAAAGCCCAACTACAGCAGAATGTCTCTGTAGAATGAAAGATTCTGCTTGCTCCTTTGGCACACGGATCATGAGTCTCACGATAGACCTTACCTGTGGCAACAGGAACACCTACAGAGGTGCAAAAAATAGATATGGAGGGTTTTCCTGACACTTTTTTCATAAATTCCTATGAGGTTTTGTTGCTCTCTTGTTTCACTTTGTGTCTTTGCTTTCCCTCAGCACGCTAGAACATCTAAAGCGATGGCTGCAACCTGATAAAGTGGCAATCAATACTGAGGAGGTACAGTACCTCATCCCTCCAGAATCTCAGCCAGAGAAGCAGGAGACTGAGGAAGAACCTCCAGCTGCAGAGCAGTGAGATACGCACCAGCCATGCCACAGAGCTGTCTCTTGTCCGAACCCTGATGAAGTTGTATCCAGTGGCAGTAATAATCGGGGGGCAAAAGTGCCAATTATCAGTCACTTAAAAAACAAAAAAAAACAACCAACACACAAAAAACCCCAGCTCTGGACCTCCAGAGATAGTGACTGGCATTTGTTATGGACAAGAGTGGAACGCCTGTGACACAGCGTATGCTGAACTGAAATCTTACTTTGATCTTCTCCCAGCCTGTAGCAGCCTAATCATTCCAGTCTGAATGTGAATTGTTTGTAATTCATCAGAAGACGCATTAAACAAAAAAAAAGTTGTTCAGAAGCATCAGAAAACATAATGGTCTAGAATAGAACACATAAAACCACTGAAGCAGTTTTTCTTCCTGTCTTGTACCTTTTTTACTACTCAATTGGGCATTTTTTTTTCTTTCCTGCAAAGTCTGCTGTGGTGTTTTCTATAGATCTTCACTATTTAAGTCCGACTTGGCCCTGAGCTGTGCCTGGAGGAAGACGTATTTTTTTTTCACCTACATGAATTTGGAACCCTAAAGGAAGCTATCATTGCAATCATTAAATTGATGGTATCATTGACATTGTAACTGTTTAACATTCCTCTCTGTGTAATTACCCTCCTACAATATCCCACTTTATTGGCCAAACTCTCTATTAACTGGAGGGGAGTATTTTTTTCTCTTGTTGGCCATTTTGTACCTGTTCTTTATCTCCTTCAGGCTCTCCAGAAGAGCATCAGATGAGATTCTGTATCGGGAAACCAAGAACCAGGGAGGCTACAAATACCTTGTTTTCCTCACAGACTTGCATAGAATTATCTGACTTTAAATATGTTCTAGTATTTAATTGTTTTTCACCCTGTTTAACTCTGCAGAGGGTTATTTCCCATTACTAATCAAAGAATCTGTATACATGTACTTGTATAAGACTGATGGCTCTTTAACCTGTGCTTTCTGTCTTGGCATTGACACTAATGGTCGATAGAGGGAAGCAGCATACATCTTCTGTCAGATAAAGCTAGTTAAGACAGAAATTGTAGGGGGAGTTCTAGTAGTTCACGCACACTAGATTGATACCGTGTTCATGATGTACCTGTATGAAAATACATTTTTAACAGTAGCTTCTTCATACACCTTCCTTGTTCCTGTGCAGTTATAAATGGTGCTACTGTCTCGGTCACTGACACCTGTTACTCTGTTGGTGCTCCTCCAGTGTCATGACTCAGTGTTTGTTTCCACAGTCAGCTTTACCAGTATGACCACCCACCCCAGGCTCACCGTTCACAAAGTCACACTCGTAATTCTCCATTAGAAAAAACACTTTTTTCTTTTTTAAGACTTGAGAAATATGGTGAATCACCTGAATGTCAGTGATACAAGCCTTGCAAGTCCCGTGTCTTGTTGGAGGGTGGTTTTTGTCATCTTTTAAATGTCCCTTTTAATTTATCTCTAAAAATAAGTCTGCTTTCCTGTACAGGTACAGTGCTGTAAATCTCTCACCTGTGATGTCAAGCTATGACAAAGATGCTTCTGAGTATTTACCAGAAATGTTATGTACAAACAGAGAGATACAGTTTCTCTGTCCGTACCCAGGCTATTTCCTAGTCAAGACACTTCCTTCTTGTGATTAGCAATGACTGTGAAGATGCTTTATATTATTTTGTCTATTCCCATTAAAGCTGTCCAAGAAAGAAATGTATTCAAAGATAACTGTATGGAAACACACGCAGTTCTGGGTCCACATAACAGCATTTCCTCTAGAGAAGGGACCTTCAAGAGAGTAGCTCTCACCATTTCATTTTAAAAAATAGCTCAGAAGCCCAAAAAAAGGGTCTGGGGAAGAATTGTTGTCCAAATACAGAATTAGCTGCAGTCTTCGAATTGGCAATGGTAACTCTGGCAAGAAATACACAGGTCCTTTGCTGGTTGGTTACATACATCTGTCTGCACAGATGACTGAAGAACGAGAAGGTCATCTGCCTTGATTTGACCAAAATACCAGCTACTCGAAGTAGCTTCTTGTGCGGGAGGATCTGTTTAAACGTGGCGGGGAAGACCAGCTATTTCGACCCTTCGCATTTGTAAAGCACGCTCTGCCGGGATGGCGGGGAGTAAGTCCTATTGCTGCACGTGGAGAACAGGCACTGATCATTTTCATCAGGTCCAGGGACTGTCAGTAAAAAGAAAAAAAAAAAAAGAGATCAGTATAAATCAGTCCCAAGCAGGACAGAGGCCAGAAGGTCAAACAAATGCTTTGTGATGGAGGAGGAGAAGAGAACTAGTGCTGGTCACTCAACGGATAATTGAAGAGACCTTCGTGAACGGCCGCATCCAGTTCCACAGGGAGTCTCCATCCCCGAGGGGTGCACCAGCTCCCACTCCGAGCAGCACCGCGTCTGTGTTGTGAAAGGGTCAGCTGGCTTCCAGTGGTGTAACACCAGCTCCACGGGCTCTGGTACGGCCAAGACGGCTGAATGAGCGCAGGGACAGCGTAGCTGCCATGCTGGACACGAGTCAGGAAGAAATACCAGTTTTCTCTGTGGCTGTTGATGGGTAATGTCAGTACAAGACAGTAAATTAGGTCCCGAAGCACTGCAGCAGCATCTTTTCAGCAGAGAATTAAACCTGCCAAAGCGCTTAGAGATTGGCATTTAATTGGAGACTGCTTTCAGATCAAGCAACAGATCCAGCCCCATCAATTTGCAGGCTTGCTCCAAAGGCTGGCTGAGTCAGCCTAACTCAACTGAGATGTAAACAGTAGGACTGAAAGACCCAATCTCTCCGCTTAAGAACAAACAAAAGGTTAAAAAAAACCCTATTTTATAAGCACACAAGCTATTTTTTACCTAGTTTTAACCTAACCACACTTTTACTGTATAGAACATTTACACTCGAGTAGTCTAACCCTCTGTTGCTCAAGGGAAGGGACAACATCCAGTGAAGGCACTACAGTAGAGAGGTGTTCAGAAGAACAAGCCGGGAGCTGTCACGTGGTCCCCCCTTTGGCCACTGACCCAGAAGAAAATCAGACTTGGGCTGGGTCTATACTTCAATCACCATAAGAGTAGCAAGAACTCCTCTGTTAAAACCCTTAAAAACTTCTTTACAAGATGGCTTAAACTGTGAATACGCGAGGAAGCGTGATGTGTCCAGGCAGCGTTGTCGCACTTGGTGATGCTGCAAAGTGTTACGGTAGCAAGGACTTTACTACAAAGTGTTACGGCCTATCAAAGGAACACACTCTTGTTCAAAGTGTTACGGTTTATTCTAGGAAAAGAAAGCTGTTTAGCTCCTATCAATCAAACACACTCTTGCTGGTACAAGCAGCATTTTCACTAGGGATTTTTTTTTGCTTCTACATCAACACCAGCCTTCCTATATGTGGAAGTGATTTGCATGCTGGGAGATGCACCAATCTAAAAAAGACGAGCTGTTGATAACAGCTTAGCAATAGAGAAAAAGCAAACTATCAGCAGGTGCAGACGGGTCCGCAGAAGCAGTGCCGGAAAGCATCGTGTCCAGCCTGTTATGCACAAGCAAAGACCTGCTATCAAATTCAGGAGATGATTTTTCAGGTGTGAGAAACTAGTAATCACAAAAGAAATGTTAGCCCCCCTCCAGTTTGTACCTGTTAAAGACAATGCTTCACCCTTTTCTCTGCATGAAACAGCATTTCTCTACCCCCTTAAACTTCCCGGAGTGATGGATCACCCCGGTATTGTAACGCACATCAAGGTGGGCTCCATTTGTCTGTACTTGACATACGCTGATAAACGCGCTTGTGGCAGTCTGATCCTCCCCGCACTTTCCCAAGAGCTTCCACCCACCCGTACAGGGGGAAAAAAAAAGGTGGTTCACTGTGTACTTGAACCGACGAAATCAATCCAACTGAAGCATGAGCTGGCAGCACCGTATAATGACACTGAGAATATTCCGTCCTGCCGTTTAATTGACAGGCTCTCTAGGACCTCAGGTTGGGAAAAATTGCAGCCTGCTGCAGGAGGAAGGTCTGCGCTGCGATTGCCATCTTGCAGAAAAGGTGATGAAGACTGACATTTTCAGAAGTGGCTTCGGGTGGACCCCCTCCGGTTGCTCCCTGGAGATGTCTTGCAGGTGCTGGAACCTGCGGTTATTTCTAAAAGCCAACCTGGTGACCAACGCACAAAGAAAAGGATAAAAATCACAGCAAACCGATTCCTGGTCATCATCTGTACGGGGTAGGATGGACACCGGGATGTCGTAGCAGATGTCTCGAGCACCGACGCTTCAAGAAGCATCGCCAGCTCACAGATCCGGGGATCAGCAGGGTGGGTTGCAGCTGCCGAATCCATCGCTTGTATCCATTCAGAGACAGAAACTCCTGGTGCGGGGCAATACGAGCTTTGGAATTAGAGTGACTTATCCTACAGGGCCTCTGGAAGCAGTAAAGATTAGGTCAGAAAAGGCTTTTCCGGGATAAGTACGTGCAGAGGGAAAAGCTCCCCGCACTGCTGCCGGATTGCCCTGACCGTGGTGCATCCAGACGTGGGTGAAGCCTCGGGCTGACTCGGGGTGGACGTGCTCTGTCCCAGCCACCCAGCGATTCATTATTCATTATTCTGCTGTCATGTTCAAACTCCATCTCTCATTTCAAACGATCTTTCAAGAGCCTTCTGCTTCCCTTATCAGATTGCCCTGCTGTTTAAAATTAACAGCAGCTCTCAGCCAGACTGTGATATGGAGACAAAGATTATTTTCTTCCTGCTGATTATTTGGCAGGGATGAGTGCTCGCCCCTGAAGTCAGCCCTCAGCCAGCTTTAATAACACCGACCCACATCCATCAGATTGAGACAAATTAACAGCCTTCTCTCACCAGAAGTTGGAATTTTGCAGAACTTCTCCTAGGCCTGGTCTGACAATTTCCATTCCTGTTACCAAAAAAATTCCAGTTGACGATAATGATGATTATTTTTAATTTTCCCTTACTTCAGTAAGCTATGAAGGAAAAGATGAAAAAATCCTGCATGTGGAATCAGAGGCTTCCGAGGAAAACGGAGCTGATGGGCAGCAACCTACTTTGGATCTGGCAGCCAGGTACCCCTGCCACGTTAAATAACAAGCAACCCTGTCACTATACACTCCCTTATTATGGGCATACAGTCATTAATACACCTGACATCAAAGTGATGCCTGTGGAGAAGCAAAGATCTGTTTTTCCTTCCAAAGGAGAAAGAAAAAAAGAAGAGAGAAAAATGACAAACCCTCAGTCTTTTCACCAGGGGCAATAACTGCTCCAAAGCAGTTTCATGGCAGCTTTAAAATTGCAACGTTTGTCCTGACACTTCCAATAAAAACTTCATAACATTATTTTAGCTGAAAGATGGTGTTTGTGGTTGGGGGAAAGCAGCTGCTTTTTTTTTTTTTCAGGACAAACTTTGCAAACCTAGGGTGGATTTCTGGATGCTTGTTGCCCTCCCAGTGCCTTCGTAATCTGCTGCCCTACAGTAAGTGACCCAAACCCATCAGAAATGCCACGGGGAATTCAGCTGCATGGGCTGGCCAGGGAGGCTTCCCCCCTGGCCTTGCACTTCCAAACATTTTTCAG